ACCTCTCAATGATCTGATGTGATTCATTGCCATGGCTTAACCCCTGAAAATTTACGCAGACAATCATAAAAATTAAGAAATTCGAAAAAATTCTAAGAGAAAAAGAAAGCAAGTTACTTGAAAATCTCACAAAGTTCGAGCTTTTGAGTTTGTCTCAATTGAATTAGGGTTTCTGAGACGCAACAGATGGGAGGATGATGGACGAAGGAGGGAGACGGGTTTAGAAGAAGGATGTCTTGGATTGGACCGGGTTATGAAACCGGGCTTAACGGACCCAATATGACAAGACCTCATAAAGGCCCAAATTTGCACACCGAAAAGCCAACCCAACAGCTCCATTTCCCCTCCTCCAAGATTGGCCTCAAGATTTCACGAATTACAGTCATCCATAAACCCTAAAACCCCTTCTGCTTTTGTCTTCATTCTCTTGTTGAAAACCCTGCAAAACCCCTCTTGAAATGGCAGGAAGCCAAGCAACCAACATCTTGATGAACATCGCCCGCGCAGCATTAGGACTCGGGGCTGCCGCCTCTCTCGCCAACGCGTCGCTGTACACGGTGGATGGTGGACAGCGTGCTGTTCTGTTCGACCGGTTCAGGGGAGTGATCGATGAGACGGTGGGTGAGGGGACTCACTTCCTCGTCCCCTGGCTCCAAAAGCCCTTCATCTTTGATATCCGCACCCGCCCTCACACATTCTCCTCCGTCTCTGGTACCAAAGATCTCCAGATGGTCAACCTAACCCTTCGGGTTCTCTCCCGTCCTGAGGTAAAATAAAAGAGAAAAAAATTACTCTTTCTGAAATCTATCTCGGTATTCATGAAATGGGTCGATAACATTTTAGGGTTTCGTTTCTGTTTTTCAATGAAATAAAGAATCGGGATCATGATGAGAAGTAATCAGAATTTGGGATATTTCGGAGATTTTTTTTTTTCCTGTTAATCAAGGAGTGAGAAATCTGGATTATGGGAGGAACCCATCAGAGTCCAACATTGCCTTTAATCTCTTGTTTTCCACCTGCATTTAGTTTTTGTCTGGTGGATTGTATAATTGTATGGTCTCTCACATTGATTGGTGGCATGGTTTTGGGGCTTCTAATGTTGAAGCATACAAATTTGCTTCTATGATTGTTTGTTTTTCTATTTTGCGTTAGGAACGTGTACTAATGAATGTTATGGACGAAATGCAGATGATGTGGTAAATCTGGGCTATGCAGTTGGCATCCTTATAATTCATATAGACACCTAACTTTGGTTTTCCTTTGATTTAACTAATCAATTTAATTAGGA